TGTGTGTAGATTGTAGCTAAGGGAAGGAGGAGGACCATGAATGAGAACGTTGGCCTCAGGGGGCTACGTCTGAAATGCCCACAGTGAAGGGGGCAGCAGGGTTGCGTCAGAAAAGGGAGGTGGCAAGGCAGGCCCTTCTGTCTGACGCGGGTCAGACACCAGCTCTCCGAGGAGGCCAGCCCTGCCCTTGTCTGGGAGCTTCTTTCCATAGTGTCTGAATATGCAAAGCCTTCACAGGGCTGCTTTGCATTTCGTGACTAAGCCAGGCAGACATTCAGGCCCGGAGGATTACAGCACTCCGTCCGCCCGCCCGCCACACGGGCTCTGGCAGCCGCCTGTCTGCCTCTCTCGTGTGACTGAGCTCCCCGGGGGCAAGGACTGCTTCCCACACCACCAGTCACAGTGCCTGGGGCACACAGTAGTGGTAAGAATGATGATAATGGCAGTAACAGTGCTTTAGGAATGTGACACTGATTCTAATAAAACGTGTATGATAAATAACATTTACTGGATCCTCGTCTCCTAGCCATTGTTCTGGTTGAATTGTTTTAATGCAGTCCATGTTTGTTGACCATCTTCGTTGAAAATCGATGTCTCGAATTTTGCCGGCCTGTGAAGGCCGTATCACCCAGGAAAGAAGGCCCTATCTGGGCACGATCTGCATCTTAATTCTGCAAAAGCCATTCACACACAGCGGTCTTAGGTGCCCGGGAGCATTGCAAAGTAGGGCGCGGTTCCCTCGATGGCAATTTGGCACAGCCACACAGCCAGCATTCAGGATAGGCCCCCCATCCCAGGAAGAAACTGTGATGCAAAGCCGGACACCCAGCAGTACTGTAGAGTGACCTCAGCCACACACACAGACACACACACACACTGCTCTGAAATCTTTTCCCACTGAGAGTCTGCGATGTGTCCGAGTTGACAGGTGGGACCACTCTGAACCCTCGCTGCGGGTTCCTGGGGGGGAGGAGGAACAAGGGAGGAGTCGGCCCAAACACTACGCAGACACTGTAACTACAGAGTTTCAGACTTGGAATCCGTGTTCGTCTGCATGTCAGGGAGGCCCCCAAACCGTCCGGGCACAGCCCAGCCTCTTCAGATGAGCTATCTTAGAATCCCGCAGGCAAAATAACCTGGATGGCTCAGTAAGCATCTCAGGCAAGCAGCACGTACTTGTAAAGGGTTTTCTTTATATGCCAGTAACTCACGAGAGAAAGGTGCTTTTAGAGAACTGTCCAGGCTTAATTGAAAAAGCACATGGCAGTCAGCTTGTGTCCCCAGCCAGCCTGAAACGGCCTAGCTGGTGGCCAAGTTTGGGAGCCTGAAGACAGACAAATGACTAATCCCAGAGCTGTGTGTGGCCGCGACCAAATGTGTTTTCTGACCACAAGACCATGTCTAGAGTCTCCTTTGTAATTACCACACGGCCTACTGTAATTGTAAAACTTATATTTACTTCCTGCCTTTGACATGTGATTCAGGGCCCAAGGCTGCACCCCAAGCTAGAGTGAGGTCCTCTGTTGTTTGCCTGAAACCTGTGAAGTCGTTGTGTGTGAGTTTGTGTCGCCACCTCTGCCAAACATGCCCAGTGTATCCTTATGAAAAATATGCCCACTCCTGCCTCGTTGGATAAAGCCCTTTACTGAATCAGAGGTTTGCTGAGTACCTGTCACTGTATGCCAAGGACACTTTGGACTCTAAGAAACTTCAGTGAACCAGACAACACAGACCCCAGAAGAGAGCAAGGGAGAGGGGGTGGGGGGAGGGGAGGAGACAGACAAGAAAATGCCCCCATGCTCGGGTGAGTGCTGTGCAGGGCGGCACAACGGAGTAATGTGACAGAGAGTGCCTAGGGGTCTGCTTTAGCTTGGGGCTTCCGAGAAGGCCCCTCCAAAGAGATGACATTTAAACTGACATTTTAAAATGACAAAGAGTAGGACACACAAAGATCAGGAGGAAGAGCATTCCAGACAGGTTAGTGTAAAGGCCCACATTCAGGACAGAGCTTGGTGTGCTCCGGAAGCATGAAAGTGCCGTGCAGTGCGTGGGGAGGGGGAGGCAGGCTGGTCAGAGGGGCAACCCCCGGGCAGGCCCCTGGGACAGTGGGAGGCCGGCTGGGCGTGGTCTGGGCTGGAGGCCATGGTCCTCGCTCGGACTGGGATGGGGTGGCATCGAGACGAGGGTCTAGACTTAGATTAGGGACCGTAGCTGAGAACCAGTCCCCGGGACTGGCCAGTGGTTGGGATGAGAGGAACGAAGGAAGAGGAATAACCAGGATGATTCCAAAGGATGGGGCCTGAGCAATGAGCAGGCAGCTGAGGGGAGAAGGACTGAGGCCAAGCTGCCGAGCTCCGCATCAGCGGTCATAACGGACTAACCGCGAACCACGTCCTGGAGTCCGGTGGATGCCCTCACTGCCCACCCCACCCCCCCAGCTTTACGTCCCCGGGCGGGGGGGGGGGGAGTATTCGTAGACTTTGGGAACCCTTAACTGTTCCCTGAAGGCTCCTTCAAGCACTTCCCTGGTCTCCCCATCTTTTCAGTGTCCGTTTTATGACTTCACATAAACCCCATGTGAGGCACTAACACCCCCCGAGGGTCCTCTGTAATTCTAGTCTCTGGACGGGCCTCCCTCCTCCGCAGCTCTAGTCTCTGCTGGCAGCACTGCCCCCGGCCCACGCGAGCACGGGTGTGCGGGGCGGCTCCGCGGCCTGCCCAGCTGCCGGGAGCTCCCCGCGGCGTGGGCGTCTGACGGCGTGGCTCAGAAGTGTCTGTGGCCGGTGGCGTGAGCAGGGGTCTTGTTCTTCTCTTCGTGACCAGGAACATTTTGGGACCCCCTTAGTAACATGAAACTCATGCAGTGCAGTTATTTCTTTATTATAATACCGGTGTTATCTGCCATTGCCTTAAAAGTACTGTGGGGGCTTCCGTTTTCTTGTCTACACAATGGGAAACGCAGTGGGGTGGTTTTTTCGTGAGTGTTTTGTGAGGATGAAATGAAACGATGTAGATAATCAGCACAGTGGCTGCACTGCAGCGTTCAGTGAACCTGAGCTGTGATTATTAATAAAGTATAACTCGGGGCGGGGAGGAGCGGCTCTCGGAACCAGACACTGGCTGTAGCGTTCAGATGAGCGGGCCACGAGCACAGAGCCACGTGCATCGGTGGACTAAATCCCCTCGTGGTTCGATCTATTTTCCCCTCCAATTTCCTGTGGCCCGGCCCAGCAGACACTGGTCTTTGTCTTTCTTATCGGAAACTCAGCTCAATTCACCTAAGGGGTCTTTCTTGCCAGCTGGGACCTTGTAGAATCCCAGCCTTAGCGTCCCTTTCTACAAACGCAGCCTCGGGATGGGGAACTGTTCCGTCTCAGGAGAAGTTCAGCCACGGAGACTCTTTCTCCTTTTAGACCCCGGGTCCGTGGGCTCCTACTCGCTGCCGTGGGCATTCTCCCTCCGCCTTTCTTTCGCTGAACCCCGTCTCCTGAGATCGCCGGTGTTGACAGCCGCCCCCAGTGTGAGTTCCCCACTCCGCCTTCCCTTGTGGTTGGCGTGGCCCTTGCCTTGTGCTTTCTTGCTTCCTCTACCTTTTGTAATTTAAAAATAGAAAATTAAAAAAAATAATAAACCCACGCCTTTCACATTGGCTGAACTCTGTCGTTTGGCTGACAGATTTTCCGGCGAATTCCACGGTACAGCTCACACAGCCAGACGTCTGCCGCTGCAGAATCGGCCCTGTGAGCGGTGGGCGAAGGGACGCTGCTGTCCAGACTGCCCAAGCCCAGTCAGAGACGGGCGGCCGCAGCCCGTGGGAGGGGCCTGGGGAAGCCCGCCAGCGAGCGCCCTGCCGGCTCTGCTCCAGGCTCTCCCCCTGGCCGGTCCAGTTTTCCCGAGCCCTCGTGGGCAATCACGGGGTGGACAGGAGACTCTGAGGGGCCTGGACTCCCCCTGCGAAGACCAGAGGCAGGTCCCGGGAAGCACAAGGACCCTCCATCCACACTTCAGGGCCCCCGCCTCGCACCGTAACAGGCTTATTTACTAAACCGTGGCAGCCTCCATGTTCACTATACGTTTGTTGCTGCCAGAGTACTTCTAAAAATATTTTTACAGTTTTTCTTTGGAAATAGGTTGGCTGTAAGTAGCTGCTCTAACTTATAATTGACTTAATTTATCAGCAATTATCTTAGCACACTTGAGACTCACTACGTTAAAACCTAAGTCCAGCCTACGTGTTGTTTCCAGACGAAATACTTTTGATCACCAAATCAACAATCAACAAAGTTTTAACCTCTAACATTAGGTTTTGTTCGCCTTTAACACTCAGTAATTCAATTCTGTAGTTCTCCTCTTTGAAGCCAATACATGGTTTTCAAGACCTCAGGCATAGTGGAGTTGTTTTTAAATAACGTAGTAAATACATTTTTAAGAATTCCCCCGTCTTAATGTCTGCTCTGGAGATGTTGGTAGATAGAACCCACATTTTAAAAGTGCTTTGGGGTCCTCAGTGATGGCTAGAAGAACGAAAGGGTCCAAAGACCAAGAAGTTAGAGGATGCCAGCGCCGCCCCACCCAGTCGTTGGCGTTGACTGAGCAAGTTCCCTCCGGCCTGGAGCTGTGCAGAGCTCTAGAACAGGACCTCGCTAGCCCAAGGCCCTCCAGCTGGAGGCGAAAGGGACAGGCAGGTCCCCCAGACACCACAGCCACGCTCTTGGTCACCGGACGGCCCTACTCACAGCGTAACTCTCCGTGACTCTGAAAGGGCGATTCTACCGCTCGCTGGGAGTCTCGGAGTCCGCACCCACGGCGGGCAGCATCCTCCCTGCCCTGCAGCACCCTCCCTGTTCTTTCTGGAGCAGGAGGGTGGATGCGCAGCCAGGTGCCCAGCCCAGGGGCTGACACCAGCGCACTCAGCAGCTGTCAACCTCCTCCCTTCTGTTCCTCCCAGACCCCGTCGTATGAGTCCAAGGAGGCTCAGCCACTTCTTTCTTCCCCCCCAGATGGTCTGCAGGCAGAACGAGAGGCCGAGGGCACAGAAGGAGTGGATGAGGACATGATCGTGACCCAGAGTCAGACCAACTTCATCTGCCCCATTACGCAGGTACCGTTCCCTCCTTCCTCCCCTGGAGACAAAGCGCATCACTTTGGGGGGGTCCTATGTGCCTTCTGACCAGATTCCTCTGCCACAGTTCAGGAGGGAGGAGAGGGCTGTGAGAGGAGGGTCGAAGAGTCTCCACACGGGAGGTCCTTGGGCTGGAAAGAGTTTTTAGTCAACCCCGCCCCGTAGGCATGAAGTCCTGGCCCACAGGCCAAGTGGCATTGCTGCCACGGGCCTCCCTGCTGTTTCTTGGGTGGTCACCTGTGCTAATCATTTAGAGCCACAACACTGGGAGCTAAAAGATACAGAGCTTTGGGGCTAGCACCCAGTAATGGGTGACTTAAGTTTCTGGAAGTGGACCCTTAGCATCACTAAAAGACTGATGTCTCCTTAATTGCAGTTGGAAATGAAGAAGCCAGTGAAAAACAAAGTGTGTGGCCACATCTACGAAGAGGAGGCCATTGTTCGAATGATCGAGTCCAAGCACAGACGGAAGAAAAAGGCCTGGTGAGTGGGTCCAGGGAGGGGAACGGTGCGGGGGAGTCCTGGGAGTTGTGTCCGTGCTGGAAGGTGAGTGGGTGCAGGGAGGGGAACGGAGCCGTCCCGGTGCGGGGCTGTCCCAGGAGCTGTGTCCGTGCTGGAGGGTGAGTGGGTCCAGGGAGGGAACGGAGCCGTCCCCGTGCAGGCGGTCCCAGGAGCTGTGTCCGTGCTGGAGGGTGAGTGGGTCCAGGGAGGGAACGGAGCCATCCTGGTGTGGGGCGGTCTCAGGAGCTGTGTCCATGCTGGAGGGTGAGTGGGTCCAGGGAGGGGAATGGAGCCGTCCCCGTGCGGGGCGGTCCTGGGAGCTGTGTCCGTGCTGGAGGATCAGCTGCCTCGTGGTCTCCCCAGAAGCACACCCACCTCCCAAACAGTGCAGGCAGGGACGCTGGCTGTCCAGAAAAACAGTGCATGGGGAGAAAATGAGTGGTCTCCTCGGGAGAAGCTGAAGGAACTTGCACCACACCTTTTTAAAACAGGAGAAAAGGGAACGGCATTGCATTTTCATCATCGGATAACAGGGATTTTTATGAATTTGTGCTATAGCCTGAAAAAAATCCAAGAGCTGTGGTACTAAGAGAAAGACAGGAAATCTTTCATATCTTTAATTACTTCAATAACTTCCCCCAGAGATTTCAGTAAATTCATGGGTAATTGATCAACGGGAAATTATTATTATTTTTTAAAGTGGGAATGTTCGGAGAATCTTTAATACGGATATTTCTCCCCACCTCCTCGCCGCCCCTGACCACGGAGGACAGGGCTCTGCTCCCGAGCTAACACAGAACCCGGAGCTGGCCAGACCAACTGTTTTACGTACTGCTGTGCTCTTATCAGAGATTTGGAGTTATCGCAAGGAATGGAATTGCAGGTGTGACCGGTTCTCGGTGGACTTCTGATAACAGTCGCTTTGATGTGTGCTTTGCCGGTCCAGACCCAGAGCTGGAATTCCCCACCACTCCTCTTCTGGGTGTGGGCTTGCAGACGGGGTGTTGGAGGCCGCAGATACCCTGGCGGTCATTCCGTCAAGAAGTGTACCCGCTCCTTCTAGAAGAGCAGCCTGCTCACGGCAAAGTGGGGGAGCGCTGGAGGGCGCTTTGACCTGTCTTGAGTTTCCAGCCGACAGCTGAGATGCCCTAGTGAGTTTCCCATCTCACCCCATAAACATGATTTTCTTTGTTTCTGAGTTACTCCTCCTTTCTTTTCTGCTGACGTTTTTTCTGTTCATTCTCTGAAAAGCAAAATGTTCATTTTTTTTTTTCATGCAATTGCTAGGAATAGGTATTTCCAGATAGTTCTCGTTCGCAGCTCCTGATCATTCAAGCGTATGGTGTTCTCCTAGAATCAGCTTTGGCCAGGGCGGCTGCGGATACACAGCACCGACCTCACAGGACCCAGGACGGGCGGGGGTGGCTCCCTGAATCGGCTCCGCCTTTTAAACGGATCTTCCTGTTGTGTACTTTGACTTTCTAATGCCCTTGGCCCTTTTTGGTAGCACTTGAGTAACACTTGCCACTTAAGAAAAAAAATCGTTTTTCTCAAAGCTTGGGTGCAGATTCTGCCAGCTCTTCCAGTTCTCGTGGCTTAATAATAATAACCATGAAGTCCAAGTAGAGGAAGTCTGGGAGATTTATAAAGCAGGCAGTATTTTTCCTGGCCTTAAAAAATGAGAAGGATCTCAGGGAAGAGTAAATAAGAATCTTTCTGGTCATGAGGCTTGCCCCGCCCAGAGCCTGCCCAGCTGGGGGCAGTGGGGGCCGTTTCAGGCACTGTGTGTTGGAGGGACAGTGGGAGGAGGACGGGTGGTGACGACAGGAGAGTGGTGTGAAGGTTCGCCGCCGAGGGTGTTGAATGTCATGATTTTGCTGGTTTTCTCACCTGTACGTGGGTGCTGATGGTTGTGATTGCTGCATTGGCGTGTTTGAAATCTGAGTGAGATATATGTGAGGTGTGTACAGCAACCGGCACGTGGTGAGACTCCGTGCACGTGATCCCGTCACCACCATCGTCAACCGTCGTCGTCATCTCTGCAACCGCCACTGTATCCACAGGCACGAGAGAACAGTCCGAGGGGGAGCAAGGGGGCCCACCCGGAGTTCCGAAACTTCCTCCAGCGGCAGCTCAGGGGTGGGTCAGAACGGCGTGCGGGGGAGTGCCCACGGGGGCGCTTCCGTGGCAGATCAGGCCCTGAGCACTGGGAGCCCGGAGCGAGGCCGGGTCACGGGGACCGAGGCCGGGGTGAAATGGGAGCAGCGCGGAGGGGAAACGATCGGATCCGGTGGCTGAGCGCCGAAGGGAGGTGAGGGAGGGCACACAAACGGGCATCTGGAGGGGGTGGTGAGGGGGGCGCAGCTGCCATCAGACGGCGGAGAGGAACCGCGCGGCTCCTGCGGAGTGTGCTGTCCCCACAGTCCAGCCGTTTGGAGGTGTCCTGGAGGCGCGTCCATGTGGACTTTTGAGCTTGAGAGAGAGCTGTGAACTCTCGATGTTGATGGTGAGGCTGTTGGCACCACAGAGTCAAACGTGGTGGTGACTGCCCCCCACCCCCACCCCCAGAGCAGTCAGGACCTGGGCCTGGCTCTGCTCTGCTCATTGCTGCTTTCAGCACTTGACCCCGGGCCTGAGCTGGACCCCCCTCAGTGGAAGGGCAGTCAGGGGAGCAAGGCCCCAGCGAAGCTGTCTACGGCGTGGTCTGGAAAGAGAGGGGAGAGAGGAGGGCGGAGTGAAATGGGGGGGCGAGGGGGGCTGGACAGTGGTGGGGGATGGGAGGGGGCAGTTGGCAGCAAATGGGAATCCGGGGCCTCTTTGCAGCGTGCCTCAGAGGCTCCTGACGAAGCATGAGGGCATGTCATTTCCCATGATGCACATGCATGTGATGAGCAGGCCTTTTGTTTAAAAATGTCTGTCTGTGACACGTAGTTTGAGCAACCTCAGCTCTTCCTGCTGGATTGTTCTCGCTGTGTTCACTGGCCGGTGGTGCCGCGTCCATTGTGTCCCTGGGCACTGACCGGAGTCTGCTGACCGGAGTCTGCTGACCAGAGTCCGCTGCCCCTGCTCCGGTCTCTGGGAAGCCCTCCCCCACTGGTTCGAGTCAGGACAGAGTCGGTGAGACTTCAGCCCTAACTAAATGCTTTTTTTTTAAAAAAAGTGATTTCCTGAAATACCTCTCTTAATAATCAGGCTATTTACTATCTTACTAACAAAGCTGTCCTATGATGTCTACATTAATAAGACATTTCCAGGTTTCCACAGTCACATCTTTCATTTTCTGTTTGAGAACCCCCATCCGTGTGACGGAGTCACGCTCACGGCCTGCAGCGTGAGCGTGAACAGCAGAACTCCAGCACCGCACCTGTTGTGATTTAGCAACAAGTCGTCGAACCTCTCGGAGCCTCAGTTTCTCCATCTGTAGGGCGGAAATAACAACACGTCACAGACCTCGGGGTTCAGGAAGTGGTGGGGAGTTCTGGCCTAGCTCTGGACCCCCAAACGGCTCGGCCATGGAGTAGCAGAGCACTCAGGGGAAGGGGCGTCGGGGGCAGCGGAGCGCTAATCAAGCAGCCCCCTGGCTACGGAGGCCGGAGACCCGCAGTGTTGCTAGCGCCGACCCCACTACTTAGTGGCAGGCGCTGTTAGACTCAGAGGGTGTGCCAGTGGGTTCCAGTTACTCCCCGCATTTCGGCATGAAAGGAACCCATCCCACTCAGTGTTCCAGAAGGGTCTGTAGACCTTCTTTCTAGAACTTTCTGGGGCTGGATTGGACCTTGGGATCGTGGGTCCTTATAAGACTCACAGTCTTCTGCTTTGGGGCTGATGCTGAGGCCAAGGCTCCCCCCGGCCTTCCCGCCGAGACTCGGGCTCCCTTTGCTCAGCAGACACCCTCGTGCTTGCTGACTGCAGCGGCGGGGCGCTCCGCCCCGTCCGTGACCCGAGTTCAGGCCCTGGCCTCTCCCTCGAGGTCTGCAGGTCTGACTCCTGCACGGCAATGACGCAAGAGCTTGAGAGCTGAAGACTGGGCCTGGCCACGCCCGACCTGCTCACCAGGATGTCCTGGGGGTGGACGCGCTGTCGCTGTGTAGAGGCCGTTTCCCCGGAGGAGCGGTGCCCTGGTTCGGTGTCACCTCGTGAGGGCCTGGCCTCAGCCTCTGCGGCTGGAAAACCTGTGTTTGTTCACTGGAGATGGGGCGAGGGCCAGGGTTCTCCCCCAGCTGCCGCGCCCACTCCCCCCTCCTCCGGGGAGCCTTGAACTCCTGTTTGTGCTGCGGCTGGCTCTTCCCCACGAGCTTCTCGGGTGCCGAGCAGCCTCTAGAGCAGGAGTTGCTCGAGGTGGCCGTGAGTTCCTTGACCCTTGTCACGCGTCGTCCGTGATTTCTCGCGACACCCCCTGCTCTGCCTTCGTCCTCGTGGAAGAAGAAGCTGAGGCACCGGCATTGCCTGGAGGGGAGGCCCAGGTCTTCTTCACTCCTGACCCTGTGCCTGTGTCACCGGGCCGCCTGGCTCCTCGTGGGCAGGCTTTTGGCCGATGCCTCTGGCCCCAGAGGTTACCCCCTAAGCGAGCTAAGACCTCTGAGTTCGACACGGCTCGCCCCGGACCCTGTCCCTCCCCAGTGAGCATGCCCGCCCGCTCTGAAGCTGAGCGGTGCGGTTCGTCCCACCAGACCTTCTCAGAATGCTCTCATCTACCAGCTAAAGCCCCTGATGTCATCAGGAAGTGCTCCCCACTTCCCTGTCCGCCGCTTATTCACCGTCTGCCCGCCTGCCTGCCTGCCTGCCGGTGGCGGGGCCTTTGCCCTGCGGCGGGGGAGAGGGCAGGGCCGGGCCAGCACTCGGCGTGGGAGTCCAGGGGGCTGGAGAACGTCCAGTGACGTCCGTCCCAGCCACCTACTTCACGTCCCGGAGGTTGAGATGATGAAAAAGGCCCTCTCCTGAGCCACAAAAGTGCCTGTGTCCTTTCCACGTTCGCTGCAGTTTCCTCTCGTTCTTAAAGAACCCGTCCACCTGGAGGCACGAGGCGTTTGGGGTGAGTGGAAGACATCTCCCAGGCACCTTCGGCCCTCAGCCCGGGTCTGTCCCGCCTCTCCGCGTCTCTGGGCCACACTGGAAGGAGAGGAGCTGTCTTGGGCCTCACGTTAAATACGCAACCACTAGTGAAAATCAAAAAGTCTCATCATGTTGTAAGCAGATTGACGATTCTGTGCCGGGCAAAGCCCAGGCATCAGGATGAGACACACCTGGGCCGCCTCGTCCACTCCCCTTCCCCGAGGCGGCCCCGTCAGGGTCGCACCTCAGCACCCGTGCCTGACCATCCGGGGCACGATTAGTGCTTTCGCAGTAAACACTGCCAACACCCATGCCGTCCCTCTGGTGTGAAGTCGCCCTGACTCGGGGGTCAGGGCCCAGCGGCTTCCCCTGCGTGCCGGCCCACCGGACTGCCTGCTGCTGGGCAAGCGAGAGTCCCATGACCCGCTGTCTCCCCCTCCCCACCCCCATTCTATCTTCCGTCCTGTATTTATTACTTTTGACCTTGTTTTGTATGTTGTTTTTGATCTCACTGTACCCGGGCTATTCGGGGAGCCGTCTCAGATCACTAGGCCGGAGCTGCCTGCGGGCGGGAACCTGCATTTGCATTCCGCAGCTGGGGGTCTGGGGCCCCGCACGGGGCACGTCATCGCAGAGCAGGGCCAAGGGTGTGCATGGAAGTGGGTGTGCGTGTGCTGCACGTGTGAGGACGGGGAGATCCTCAGCTGTAAAACGCATTAGAGCGGCGATGGGGGAGCAAACGGGGACCGGGCAGGGAGCGGACGACACCGAGCAGGGGCTGCCTGCAGCCGCTCGAGACAGCACCTCTTCCCCGTCTTAAATCGGAGGCGGCGGAGGCACACAAAGGTAAAGTGAGTCGCCTGTGGTCTCATAACTAGCGAGTGGGCGGTGGAGGCAGAATTCAGACCTGGGTCAGCTTGACTCCAAGCGCCGGGCGCCTTCCTCCACCCAAGGCTTGCTCATGCTGAGGAGAAGTCAGGTGACTTCATCCCACCCTCTGCCTGCAGAGGGGAGACCACATCTAAACCGAGCCCTGGGTGTAAGTTCCTCCCCGCCCGCATGTGGCTGAGTCACCGCCGATCCCTCCGGCCACAGCCGAGGAGGTCCCCACCGGCTCACTCAGTCTCCCCCCCCACCCACCCCCCGGAGGCCCTGCGGGCGTTTCAGAGGGAACGCGCACCTGTGAGCACTCTCGGTTCCTCCCCAGCCTGGTGTTCCCGTTGTTCCCCTTAGAGGTGAGGGCACCTGCCGCCCATCGCGCGCCGGCTCAGGGCTCAGGCCGAGCCCGAATGGAGCTCTTCTCCCCCTTCTCACTCCGATCCGGCAGCAGGTCCACGAGGGTCTGCTCTCCGTTCTGTCCCGAAGGTCACCACTGCTGCCACCTGCATGCACACCACCCACCCCCCTCCCGGACTGGTGCAGGGGCCCCCCGTTGTCCCCGCGGCCACCCTGCCTGTGTTCCCCGCGGAGCAGCCGGAGCCTTGTTTTCTGAATGACAACAGAATCATTTCGGTGACCCTGGTGCAAGCCCTCCGCTGTGTTGTCCTCCCATTGACAAGCAGACCCGAAGCCCTGCTCCACCCCTCGCCTCACCTCCAGGGGCCTTCCCTCCTGCCCGGGGTGTCACAGTCGCCCTGACCGAGTCTGTTCTCCAGGCTGCAGGCTGCTGCCCCCTGGGCTGCTACACGCACTGCTGCCCGGCCCGGCCCGGCCACACGGGGCACTTGTTCCAGAGGGGACCTCCGCAAGGCTTGCCCTGACCCCCGCAAAGCCTGGCGTCCTGGCGTCCCTCCCCCCTCAGCCGTCCTTGCCCTCGTAGCACACTTAACACAAACCAGACTTCCAGTCTGCACCTGTCTGGTGACTCAGTGAGTGCCTGTGTCCCCCACTGGGCAGTGAGTGCCAGGAAGCGGGCATGGGGGACAGGGCCCGGCCAGGGGGCGGGGGGGGCGGGGCCTCAGTGAGCTCGCGGATGGGCGCACGTCACTCCCAAGGTCTGAAACACGCTGCTTTCTGGTAGAATGCCCTCCCGTCGGTGCGTATGTGGGGAAGAAGTTCGTGCTGAAGGCATTCAAGTCCAGTGACCTGACTTACTTTTTTAATCCCTCCCAGTTGCCCTAAAATCGGCTGCAGCCACACGGACGTGAGAATGAGCGACCTCGTCCAGGAGGAGGTGCTCAGAAGGGCGATCGAGAGCCACCACAAGAAGAGACACCGCGAGTCCGAGTAGCAAGGACCCGCCTCCCCGCAGGGGAGCCCGCAGCAGCCTACCTCCTGCCCCAGCCGCCCGGAGAGAGCGCGCCGTCCGGGCGCTCGGACTGGCTGCACTGCATGCCTCGTTTGGGGTAACACTCGAAGGTTTTAAGTGTCATCGAAAGCATTTTTCTATGTTCCAATAAAAACTCAAGGAAAGCCTATTGTTTATTTTCAAGCATTCTGTACCTTAAAATAAAACTCGGACTCTGCGCAGCTGTCCTGCCGGCGCGGCGCCCGCACCGCGCCCTGCTCCCTGGTGCAGGCTGGGCCGCCCGGCCTGCCCGTGTCTCCTGCTCCGGACTGTTTGTATCCGTGTTGTCGTTCCAACCGAGCCGTGTCTTTCGAGGAATGTTTGAAATGGAAACACGTAGAAACACCCCAGTTGCAAGCGTTTTCTGCCAGTACAGTGAGTGACAGCATGAGGCGAGAAAGTGAAGCCAGTTTATCACCCCTAAAGGGTCACGTTGTCTAGTGACTAGTGACTGTTACAGACAGGGAGGAGCTGCTCTCTGTCGCTCCGGCTGCACAGGATGCTGTGCAGCGGGCCGGTCTGGGCCGTGGCCGCTGCTGCCCGCCCCCCGCCCCCCGCCCCTGGCTCTGCACTGTTGTCCGTGGGCAGCCACCACGCCTCGACTGTTCTCTGCCTTGCCCGGTGGCTCTCCGGGAGTCGCTTCCTCCCCACCCAGGACCTTGGGGTCTCCACCACAAAGCAAAGGTGCTGAGCTAGCCGTCCTCTGATGCCCCCTCGGCCCCCAAAGGTGGCGGCCTGACAACCAGCAGTCTGGTAAACTGAATCTCGTTGGTTATATTCTAATTGTGTGAAGGGTGCTAACCTGTTACTAGTCTTCATAGCAACCTTTCACCAACTAGAATATTCAGCGAAACCAACCTCATATCCTGAATACACTCGGAAACCAAGAATAGAGAATAATGGCTAACGTTTATTGAGCACTGACTGTATACCAGGTGCTCTTCCAGCTTACACGTGTATTAACTCCTGTAATTGCTTGATGAGTGTGCTACAGTTACTGTTCCCACTTTCCAGATGAGTAAACTGAGGCCCAGCGAAGGGCGTGACCCATGGACATTCATAGAGCCAGTGGGTGGCTGAGCTGGGACAGGAAGTTAGCCTGTCTGGTCTCCAAGTCTGCGTCCTTAATTCCATGTTCCCCTCCTCCCTGCTGATTTCTGGAGAATCTCAAAATACATTCAGAGTCCACCTTTAAAAACCGAACCCTTTGTGAACAAGCGTGGACGTGTGTGCAAAGCATGTCCATTCGAATGCAGAAAACCACTGGGTTTGACATCTCAGAGGTGGCGACCGCCACAGACCAACAACATTTCCGTTGAAAAACCTGGTCTGAAAAGGGCAGCGTGAATTTTGAAAACATTTTCATGGCATTCAGAGAGTAGTATGACATTCCGTTGCTACACGCTAAGTGATTTTGAATTTCTTAAGATGCTTTATCTGAATCAGGCGTCCTGAGGAAATGATTAAGTTTAAGCCAGAACAAACATACTTTTCATGGAATGTGGTTCTTTTGTGAAATAGTTTGTTTCCTAAACAGAGAGAGCCCAGCATGAAATGTCCGCGCAAGGTTCGAGTTGCCCTTTTCCCCAAGTCTTTCTAGAGAGAATGCAAGATATTAGTGGAGATACCAGTGTCCGATTGAAAAATGCCAGATGACCGTATTCAGCTATGGAAAAAGTATAGCATGTATATCTTGTGAAACTTTTGCCTTTTTTAGTCTCCAGAAACTATGTTTTGTATATTTGTCTCGCCAATTAAAGAATGTGAAGTTTTACGTAAAACGTGTCTGCATCTTTGAGGATGTAGACATCTGGTCGTTGTCGTCACTCCGGCACACGCATCCGACTTCCATGACAGGAGTCCTCCCCCGACGTGCCCCCCGTCCTGCAGAGGACACTGTGTTTCTCTCGCTGAGAACCCCAACAACCCAAGGCGACTGAAAGGGCAGGCTTGCTCGTGGAGGCGAGGCAGGAGTGCCGGCCCCCTCCTCCCAGGGCAGCCCCCGAGTCCCGCCCGAGATCACCCGCGGCCCCGTGGGTGACATTTGAAAACCACAGCAGACGCTGGAGCTCAATCATGTTTTCAGATGTGACTGATTTAAGACTTGGACAAGCCTGTGAACATGGCATTTTTTATGTGCTAGTTCCTTTCAGAAACTTTCAATTGGGTAAGTTGAAAACATTACCGCAAACTCCCAAAGATGAGATAATTCCCTTCTCGCCTGATCTAGAACTTCGAACACGGAGGTCCAGCTTGGAGCAGCCTTGGCCTTGAGTGCCGCGTGCAGCTGAACATGCCCTGCGCCCCAACTGAGGGTGCGCGGGGCGGAGAGGAATCACAAGACTGAGGGGAACCGAGCCCACCATCAGCTGGTTGCTGGCTCCACTCACACCAGGCTCAGGTCCAAGTGCCTTAAACGTGTCACCGAAGTGAATCCTCCCTACACCCCGAGAAGGTGGGGTTGGTGGCCCGTTTTACAGATGAGGAAACCGAGGCTTAGAGTCATTGAATCATTTGCCCGAGGTCCCTTGCTAGTGAGTGTGCAGAGACAGCGATCTGACCCACCAGGCTCTTTGCCCCAGGACCCCAGAAGACACCAACAACCAGCCCACCTGATCTTCTGTCCCATCTCCTTTATTTCCATTACTGAGACCACCGTGTCCCAGGCTCGGGGCCCCAGTCGACCACACAGTGAGCACAGCCCAGTGCTTCCCTCTTCCCTCGCTCCCTCTGCAAAGGCCCCGCCAAGTCCGGGCCTTGCTTCCCGGCTTCGTACTTAGACTGTGGCCCAGGCTTCCAGCTGGCCCCTGACCTCTGACCGTCCCCTCCCATCCTTACCTCCTGGAATGCTGGTGGGCAGTTCCACACCCTGCTCTGCAGAATTATACACCCAGGATTGTGCCACACTGCAGCCCCACCCCCCGTCCCCCCAACACTCCCCGTGTCCCCAATACTCCGGTGCACCCCGTATGTGACAGGGCCCCCTCCGGGACGGGAGTGAGCCCTCCGCAGTCCTGACGAGCACAGGTGGATGACCTTGGGCAGCTCACTTCACTGCTGCAGGCCCCAGGTTTTCCCTGTCAACGCAAGGGCTGGGGCTTCCCTTCAGGGTTTCTTGAACCCCGAGATTCCGTGTCGTATTGTCCATGAACATGGGGAGGTACACGGCCCTTTGGACAGAAAGCTGGCCGACGTGGGAATCAGTACACATTTCAGCCAGATGTGCGCACTGCGGCTTCACCTGTTTATTCAACAAACCCTTCTTAAGGCCCCCTCGGTGGCAGGGTTCCTGCTCGTCCCTGGATACAAACATCCCCCTCTGAAGGGATTCTTGTCTAGTCGGGGCAGACAGACACTCACAAAACTGAATCCCACAGACGGCCACGTGACTGCCACATAGAGAGGACAGTGACACAGAAGAAACAGAAAACCCGTTGCACAAACAAACTGTGCTTGAGTAAATCGGGTGACAATTCAAAACAAACCCTTCTGATTGGGAGATGGGGCAAATCACGAGGGCAGATTATCCAGCTGTACTGGAAATCTGGTACATTTTGGAACCCTGCCTTCTAGCTTGTATCGAACTGTGGAAGGGGGAACTAATCTAAAAAAAAAAAAAAATGGAAGGGGAGCAGACCTCTCGTTGCCTATGTGCTAGTCAGTGTGTACAAACCGGTGCGGCCACTTGGAAAAGTTTGGCTTTAAAAAAAAACAAAACTTGAACAAATGTATCACACAACCCGGCAAGTCTACTCCCACACAGAATTTCTGAGAGACGCGACCACCTACATTCACACAAGGGCTTAGGAAAGTTCTTAAGGAGCATGATTTATAATCACGAACAAGTGGAGACAACCCATATGTCCAGATGGCGAATGGCTGCACAAACGTGGTGGGTCACACAGTGGACGTGCCATAGCGTGGCTGAACGTGATGTACACACGTGACATGCTGCATGTACATACATGATGCACACACATGACATGTCCAGAACAGACAGCTCTGCGGGGACGGAGAGCAGGTCCGCGGTGCCCGGGGCTGGAGGCGAGGATGGGGAGTGACTGGCTCGAGGGGTCGCCCTGGGGCGAAGGAAATGGGCTGGAACGGGGTTGCGGCGAAGACCGCACGGCCCCGGGCTTGCTGGGAGGCACTGCGTGCAGCACCTGAGGCGGGCACTGGGCGGTCTGGGAGTGACGGGAACCAGGGAGCCGAGAGGCTGCCGCCGCCGCTGCAGAGGGCGAGGAGGGGAGAGCCCTCGTGCAGTCCGCGTACAACACGCAGCTCGGGGGCCCTCGGTGCCCCCAGTGCCACTGGCAGCCAAGCCCCTGCCAGTCTTCTAAGAAGAGCTTTCAAATCTCAGTCGTAAAGGTTATACCGAAATAAGAATTCTACTCAAGCCTCAAGAAATCCAGGATTAAAAGAAGCAATTACTATAAAGAAAAAAAAAAGTAAAGGTTAGTGAGAAGTATGAGTCGTGGCTGATAACAATAAGGAACCTAATTGTATCTATTTCTATTTATCTCCCAACTGTATATTCCTTTTCTATGCAGTGATTACTAGCAGTGATCAATACTGCTAATTAGCTATTTTTGTTTATTTTTAAGTATAATAGAGTGGAAACCTTTCCAGTTCTCTCGGTCCACCCTGCCACTGGGCAGGGTGCAATTCAGCCCTTGCAGATGCCCTGGTCATCATTCAGTGGACAGCAGAAGGACCCAAACTTAAAACAAGATCATAAACATGCATGGCCACAGAGAGAAACATGTAGTGGGAATTTTTGCATGAACAAAGGCAACATCAGTTTGCAAACAAAAACAAAAAGAAAAGGCAAGCTATAATTATGCAAGGGAGCCACCCCAGGATGGTCCTCTGTCGTGAACAGAATACCACCCAGAAGTGCAGCGTGTCGAGGAAGAAGTCGGACATGGCTGGGTGCTGTGCGGGATGGTGGCTGTTCGGAGTCAGGGCAGGCCGGCCCATGGGCGGGCCCTGTGGGGGCCCCAGGCTGAGCTTTCAGGCTGGTTAGGGTCACCGTAGTTCAGATTCGTCTGGAGAACAGTAAAAACAAGGCTGGGGATGATGAAACCTAGATGCAGTGTTGAAAGGAATGGGGATGTTTTTGCCCGCAGA